AAAAAACCCAAAACCACAAAACAACTCTTTAAGGGGAATATGTGTATAAAGACAGAAGGAGGTAAAATGAGAGAAAGGCAAAGAACTTGCATGAGTAAGTAATGCCATGACTCTTCTTAAATTTGTGAAGAGACATAGCTTTACAAATACAGAAAAGTCCATGAAGCCCAGGAAGCATATAAAACCAGACACCTAGGTTCATTATAATGTGCCTATAATTTTTCAGTAGGAATGCTGAATGATACATTTAAAATGCTAAAGGGGGCAAATTCTTTAAAACTTAGCAAACAATATTTTAGCTGAAGCATCATGCAGCTCTTGCCACATGGGGCCACCCTATTTTTTCTTCCAAGTTTCCAAATCGTAAGCCAATATAAACTTTTTATTTGTGAAGCGCCTATTCTCTGATAGTATGTTATAGAAGAAAAGGTCTATACATGCAGCAAATTTTTACATTTAGAGCTGCTAAATGTATTAATCAAATATTGACAAAGACAGAAATGGTTCTGTAATACTAGCCAGTCTTCAAAACTCTACTTATAATAGGTGGAATACTCAGACGATCAAATTTTAAAAAAAGACAATACTGTATAAAACTATAAAAAAATATACTCAAAATACTGTAAAAAAAACTGTGCCTTAACACATGGATAAACAGTGATACATTAAAGAAGAACTCACAAGGGAAATTAGGGTACTTTAAGTAAATAAACTGAAAACACGTAAAAGTTCAGGCAATATAGGAAAAACACCCATGTCTCACAAAGAGGGACATTTACCAGTAAAGAAATAAATACCAAAACTAGCAGGAAAAAAAAAAAAAAAAAAAAAAAAAAAAAAAAAAAAAAAAAAAAACAGAGAATAGAAAACAGTCAAGCAATTAAAATTTGGTTTTGAAAAAAATTAGCAAGTTTTAGGTAGGTTCACAAAAGCAAAAAAGACAAATAAGCAACAAATTGCATAACCAGATGAAAAGAACAAACTTCTAGAAAAATACAATATATACTGAGTCATGACCGAAGTGAAAAGATGCACTAGAAAGATGAATCAATAATTAACCCCCACTAAAGCTTTTCACTGAAGAAAGCCCCTATACAGTAAAAAACAAAACTAAAAAACAACAAAAATAGTGTCAATCCTTCTAATTCTCTTCCAAAACAATGACCATTCAAAAACTGGAATATCCAAGAACCGTCTATGAAATAACATTTCATGTAACAGAAACCCAGGAAAAAGCAGGGAAGCTGTTCTGCCTGCAGAAAAGTGAATTTCAACATCAGACTGTTTGAGAGAGAGAAAGGCCACTAAATCCTGGTAAAGGTAACAATTAAAGAGGACGAGATAATAGTCATTCGTGTGTGTCTGTGTGTGTCTGTGTGTGCATATGCTAAACAGCACACCCAAGTACATAAAAATATTAATGGACGTGAAAAATCATATAAGCACGAATACATTTGTGAACTTTTTTTTTTTTTTGGTACCAGGGATCAAAATGAGGACCTTGCACTTGCAAGGCAGCCACAGTGCCACTGAGCTAAATCCCTGGCCCAGCACCAATACATTTGTAATGGGAGACCTCAATACCCCACTGTCACACATGAACAGATCAAGCAGACAAAAAAAAATCAACAAATCAACTTATCAGAACTGAACCAAACTTGTTAAAACAAGTGGACTTAGAGGTCTGCAGAGTGTTCTACCTCATCACATCAGAATATACATTTTTCTCAGCTGCACATGGGACATTCACTGAAATAGACAATATACTAGCTCTCAGAACATGGTTCAATAAGTGCAAAGGAACTGAAACCATCTTCTGCATATTATCAGGCCATAGCTCAACGAAACTGGAAATCAATCGCAAAAGAAACCACAACTTCATAAACATGGAAAGCAATTAACACCCTCCTCAACAACCAATGGGCCATAGAAGAAACCAAAGAATCAAGCAGACAGTTTCTAAAATTAAGTGATATTATTGGATGTAATGAAAGCAGTTCTACAGGGAAATATATGGTGGTGATTTGTCATGGAAACAGTGGGCTCAAATGAACCTTAGGCTTCTAGAAAAAAAAGAACAAGGCCAAGCTCAAAGCTCTTATGAGGGAGGAAACCATAAAAATCAGATCAGAAGGCTGGGAATGTAGTTCAGTGGCACTATGCCTGCCTTGCCAGCAACAGCAAGCTCAAGGTCCTGAGTTTGATCCCCAGTCCAAAAAACAAATCACCAAAAATATAAGAGCAGACTTTAATGCAATGGATGATGAAACAATTCAAAGATCAATGAAAAGAAGAGTTATTTCTTTGAAATATTAAATAAAACTGACAAACCCTTAGCCAACCTTGTCAAAAAAAAGGAAAAGACAAGACTCAATCCATGCAAATAAGAATAAGGGCGAAATCCCAACAGACCCTGCAGAAATCCAGAATATCACCAATATCTATTTTGAGATGCTGTATTCTAACAAGATA